AATCACTAAAGACAAAGAAAATTGAAAAAAATGTGACTTTTTTAGTACAAGAGGTTGGTTGTTGAAAAAATAATTTCATGTTTGGTTTTGAGATTTCAAAACAATTTTTGAGTTTTTTTACTTTTGCGTATTTTGTCATCTTTGGTGAATTTTTTTTTGTATTTTAGTCATTTTATTTTTTATTTTTTAGATGCACCTAATATAAATGTATTTAAAAAGTAAAATATTTGTGAAATTTTTTATAAAAGTGATAAATAAATACAAAAAAAAAATACAAAAACGTACTAAACTTTTGTAATTTTTTCTTTTTTTTGGTATTTGGTGAATTTTAAAGGGGGAACTACTAAAAAGTGGTATTATGAGAAAATTATTACAAATTCGGATAAAGTTTATGAATTTAATTAATAATGTGTATAAATTTTATCACTTATATTTGTTTGTTTTGTTTTTTTTTTCCCTTAAAGTTTACCCTGAAATGAAATTTTCCCAATTTTTAAAAGATTTTTTGACAAATTTTATACTTTTTAAATGTATCTAAACTAAGTGGATCTAAAAAATAATTAAAATGTTGATTAAAATATTTTAAAATCACTAAAAATAAAAACAAATACAAGTTAAAAACTTGCAAACTACTTTTAAAAATTATTAAATCAAACAGAGTGCAATGATACTTGGACATCCAATAATGTTTGGACATATATACTTTTAATAAAAATTTTAGTACAGCAGCATTGTTCCAAGAACAGAATGCTCAAGACCATATTTGAAAGGGAGTGGCTGATACTTTCTGGTAGATTGATAGACCAAAAAAAGGAAGTATTTATGATGGATGATTGATTATCCAGTATTGTTGATTTTCTTACTTCATTGCACACCTGAACCATTTGGTAATTAATGAAAGCTAAACCATTTGATCTAGGAATTGTAAGGTTTAGGAAAAGGGGGAGAGAATAGTATACAATGCAATTTTATGATCATCAAGCCTATCATCATGCAGTCTAGTCCAGTTGAAATGGTTGATTCAAATTAAGTTTCACTTTGGTGGTATGTGCAATTTATTTTTATAAATTCTAAATGCAGATCGTTGATAAAAATAAATAAATAAGATTGATGAGATTACTCATAGGTAACAACCAAATCTTCACACGAGTTTAACATAACATCTGTTTAAGCATAAATCTTTTAAGACTTTTAACTGTAAATTATAACACGTACACATCAACTGAGAACTGGAGAACTTGTCCACCCCACCCTGCCTAATGGGCAAAAATTGTCACAAATAAAACGCTTGATCATTTTTGAAAATGCCACTTAAAGGATTGGATAAACAACTGATTAATTTTCAGGGATTGATAAATGAAATTTATTTTTGTTAGTCCCTTCTTATTGTCAATTCTGTGAACAAGCTTAGTTTAATTGAGTTGTTTTTTTCCTCTGTTTTTGGTCTTCTCGCTCGAGTGGGGAAAGTTGCGCTCGAGCGGAGTTTTCACCTTTGCAGTACTTTGGCTTGACTGCAAAAATACTGTGAAGTGTGATTTTACGCTCGAGCATAAGTTTCAGCACTCAAGCGTAGACCTTGCTTAGTCACACGCGTTTTAGTGACACTGCTCGAGCGGCAAGTCCTGCGCTCGAGCAGGACTAGTTTTCTTTGATGATTGAGTGAGTATTAAACTCACATGGTTTGACAAGCATCTATCAAAGAGTTGTTTGAGTGTTCTACTTCAAGAGTGTTTTTTTTTCAATGGAATTCGAAGATTCAAGCGTGGAGTATTCGAAGAAGTTCGAAATTGTACACAATTGTTGATTCGACGTGGATGTTGTGGATACAACATTAATCTAATCAATTCCGAGACGAAGATTGCGGTAAAAGAGATACAGATTGGTGAAGACAAATTGGTTGCGTTTGGGTAAATTTGTATTCTTTTTTTCTTTCATAGTGGATTAATTAGTGGCGTTTCGTCCTTAGTTTTTTAATCATAATTAGAGGTACTCCAATTGTGATTTTTTCACGTAAAAATTGTTTGAGTCGATTTATTGATTTGAAAGCAACAATCTAAATCACTTTCGTATAAATGATTTAGATTATTAATTTTGATTATTTAAAAATTAATACAATTAATCTTAATCTAATCACCATTCCCTTAAAATTTTCAATTTTGTTTAAAGTTCAATATGTAACGGAAACTTTTACCCAGTAAAACGAGAGTCAAAAACCAATGTTTAATTATCAATCAGTAAAAAGACGGTCAAAAATCAATTTTTATCCATCACATCCTCAACATACACATATATTAAGGAACACCACAGGCATGCACGTGTCCCCTCAAACCAACAGAGTTCTTTATATTTGTTGAATTTTTAGTCACATTCCTCATAATTTTTATTTATTTTTATTTTTACTTTTTGTAGCACCACAAATTCTGCAAATATATGATCAAAGATGTTAAAATCAGAATCTTAGATCAGACTACATAAACAACTTTAAATAGTATATAGTCATATAATAAAAAAGGAAAAAGTTAGAAATTATAAAAAAAAATTCATGAAAATGATCATGAAATATTTATGATTCTTACATTACCTTGATTAATGTGTAGTGTTTTATTCTAAGTGTAATCCAAAAATCACAAAGCTTTCATGATTATTTTTATGAAAGATTTTTCATGATACCTACCATTGTTGAATAAAAAAACATGACCTATAAATTATATCAGATTTGTATCAAGTTTTCACAATCCTATAAAATCCAATTACTAAGATCGAAAAATTTTACATGCAAAGAATTTTACATAAGTTGGATTAACTGTGCTCAAATGAATCATAAGATCATAAGACCCTAAGATTGAAATCAGGAATTTGATAACCATGACCAGACAAAGTGCCGTTTTGGCAACACACCAAAAACGCAATTTTTTGTGTGTGTGTTGCCAAAAACGCTAGGTTGCCCAAAACGCCCCAAATCCCATTTGGGAAGACCAAAACGCAATACCCAAATTTACCAAACTACCCTCTAGAAAATTTTAATTAATTAATTCAAAAATCAAAAAGTAAGGATATTTTAGTCATTTTGGAGTGATGTGACACTTTTAAAAAATATTAAACCAAAAATCAAAAAAGTCAATTTTTTACCAACTTCCCAAATCACTTCCAAAAAAGCCAAAAAACTTGATAAAAAGCCAAAAACCAACTTTTTACTAACTTCCCTAAACATCCCAAATTCAATGCGCAAACTTAATTTTTAAGAATTGTTCCAATCAAACAACCTAAAAAAACTTCACTGAAAACAAATTGGATGACAATTCCATCATTAAACAATTTTAAATGCGTTATGTTCTCCCATTTATGAGCATGGTTGGCTTCAAGTCCAATATAGCTGGATCAGCACGTAGCCCATCAATCTGCTCCTCCGGCAATGTCACCATCACCGTCCGACCAAGCCCCTCGATGCATAATAGCTTGATCCTCACATAGTTCAGCAAGCTCCTCCTCCGGCAAAGTCACCATCACCGTCCGCGCAAGCCCCTCCTCCGGCGATGGCATCACTAGAATCAACCCTTCACCTTCCACATTTCCAACGCGATACGACACGTGAACTGGCTTCTCATCATCCTTGAACATGGCTTCATACATCAATGGCTTCTGGCAAGTATAGTTCATGTGTTCAAATTCCAAGCTAACACAAGTTAGTTCAGGACCATACATCCTAAAAGGCGGTGCATACTTCCCAGTCTCTCCTTTCCTATTTTCAAACCAATCTATATCCGACCAAAACTCCTCTTCCTTCAGCCCAGCCGCGTGGTGGTGCACTATTCCCACAACCTCTCCTAACTCACCATTATTCACTACCTCGGAATCTAATGGTAGTTGTGAGAAATGAAATGCATTGCCAAAATACCCCAAAGGTATAGATGCAGGCTTGAGTGTCCTAAAGTCAATACAAATAGAGAGAGTTTGTGTCTGGTTGTTATGTGGAGGTGACTTCAATCGCGCAATCCGTGTCAAAAACATTGCAGCTAGGACATCAAAAGGGGTGGCATTAGGGCACTTATCATGGACTTTGGATAGGCATTGTTTGATCACGGAGTTTGAAAATTTAAATGTAATTGTAGCCATTTTCACAGCAGGAGTTTCAGCTTTGGACTTGGTTGCATGGTATTTTGAGTTTGTGTTTGGAGAAGATTTGTCATGGAGATGGAGTGGAGGGAGGTGGAAGATTGGAGGGTGAGAGATGGGGTGGCCTCTGTGAAGCTCAGTCCATGATTTGAGAAGCATGGTGACGGACGTTGGATCTGCATGCATGTGAGTGCAGCTCAGTCCAATTGCTAGTCCCCCTCCTTCAAAATCATTCATCTGCCAAGTTAATGAGATTTTTGTTATTAGGGTTTAGGCAATATGTCATACAAAAAAAATGATACCTAAATACAGGTCCATTAATTAATTTTTTGGGATTTACTACACCCTATGAAATGGATAGGCAAATAAAGTCTATCGCATTAGAGAATATTGATGAAGGAGCAAATTATCTCCAACAGTAATACTATAGACCCTGAAATTTTATTCAAAAATTACATAAAAAACATCAATATGTAATTCAGCTTCATTCTATACATGCATTTTACAATACACAATTTCAATCTCCACCACATACTCTCATTCTTGACACAAATCTGGAAATGAAAGTTTTAATCCCTAGACTTAATGTAAATCCAATAAGGGCATGTTTGTTTGGGTGGACATGAGCTTGGGATTGGACTAATAGTCCAATAAAATTATTAATCCGATATTTGGTTAAACAATTGAAGTACGGACTAACAATCCATCTGGATATGGTATCCTACATATGATAAACTATTCAATCCCACAGAAGGGGGTGAGATATAAATTGAAAGACTAAACCAAAGTCTGGATTATTAGTCCTCCCTATAATCCTAACTCAATCCAAACATAAGATAGGATACATAATCCAAATGATTCGTAATCCTAGGATTATTAGTCATGAAAATGCTAATCCAACCTAATCCAGTCCGCCCAAACAAACATGGTTGTATGGGGCCATTACTGACTCTACTCTGATGATATGATATGCTTTGTTAATTTTTTAAGACTGTTTGTAAATTATTTATGTAAAAAATTAAATTAATCTGATACTCATAATCATAATTTTTTTTTCCCAAAAGAAATAGGCTAAGTATTTTTTGTAAGTAGACTATCAATTTTTTTTTTTGAAAAAAATGATAATCAAATAACCAGATGATCAAATTACATTTATCTTTAAACAAAATAGATGGTATGTTCTCAAAATCTTATTTGTTATTTAATTTTATAAAAAAATTGTAATCTATATATATATATATA